TTTTCACCTCTCAAATTTTAACTTCAATATCTAAAAAAAACCCTTAAGACCAGTCAACCAAACTTGGCACACGCACTGACGACTAGACACAGTTTGCTTGTACAGCAAATTTGCCAGCACCAGCTTCACAGCGACGGTGCAGGGCATTCTGAAACACAGCCGAAAAGCATGAAAAATGGGCTAAATTTCACTACTTCAGCAACTTTATAGACTGGTGGCTGAAACTAAGCTTGGCACGTGCTAAACAGATGTCTTAGCTGTGAATATTGCTCACTTACAATCCTTTATAAGCCAGCGTCTTTCCGCCATTTTTCATTACAACACAATGGTCCAATGACGCTCGCTGCCTGACGTCGACAGAAGACGAGCCCTTACCTGGCTCAAGGATGGCTCCACGTTCCCAGTCGTTTCACATCGACTTGGGGTGTCCCCATCAGTCATATAAAAGCTGCAAGAACGATGGCAAGCTACCGGAAGGGTCCAGGACAGGCCTCGACCACGGCCGCCTGCTTGACCAACGACAGCATTGACTGGTTCATCGTCAAACAGACCGTGACGTCACGAACCACCACTGCAAACGGCATCAGGGACCAACTTTGGGTGACAGTCAATGTCCACGAGAGGTATGAGATGCTGAGGAACCGTATCCGCAGAGTCAGGTTCGCTTCTCGAGTTCCTGCCAGGCGCCCAAGACACACGCCGCCCCACAAAGCAGCTGGCCGGGCGTGGTCTGCTCGCCATTCATAGTGGACACGACGTCAGTGGGACCAAGTGGTCTTCTCGGACGAATCCAGATTCAACCTGCTGCACCCAGTCAGGCAAGCCAACGTCTGGAGGCGCCAAGGAGAGCTGTTCCACTGCTACGGTGGAGGGTCCGTTTTGGTGTGGGGAGGCTTCTCGACTCACCCCAAGACCTCCTGTACCATATACAGGGCAATCTGACCGCGGCAAGGTACAGGGAGGAAATCCTGCGTCTCCTTTCTGCTCCTCTTCTGCAGCAGGTTGGACCCCAGGCTGTACTGCAGGACGACAACGCCACACCACACCGCACACTGCAAGCTGTCACCCGCAAGGACTGACCAGCTTGTAGTCCGGATTTGAACCCAAGAGAGAACATTTGGGATCACATTGACCGGTGGATAAGGGACAACCACCCTCATGCACAAAACCTTCAACAACTCTTTGACTGCCTCGTCCAGGAGTGGCAAAACATACCGCAACAAGCTCTCCGAAGGCATCACCTGTCCTTGCATCGACGTTGTGCCTAGTGTTTGGTCAAACGGAGTGGCTACACCCACCATTGACAATGTTCATGAAGAACTATGGCTGTTCAGACTTTTGAAATCCGAACAATGTGACTTAAACTCATTTTACATGAACTTCTCGTTTTTGTTGAAATCTGAAATTATACACACTTAATCTCGAGAGTCGAAAGCATCTTTTTTGAAAAAATGAATAAATTCGGTTAAAGTGTTCTTCAGTTATCTTTCTTTGAATTTTTGTTCTTTTACTTATTTGTGCGAGTTTAGTAGGGACACGCCAAATTGAAGGCGAAAAGCGGCCATCGTGGCACAAACCGACCGACTCGGTCGGTGACCTACAAAAACCAACGCGTTTGTTTTCAGGCCTGCGAATCGCGCGATCGGGAGGGTAGCAGATAATCACCACAAGGCTGAGTCACGTGTCCATGTTGACACTCGAAATCCGGTAGCGCCCTTTTCGAAAAAGTGCAGACTGTGCGAACAGAGTTACCCTACTTATGGGAAAAACAATAAAAGGCGAAACTAATAAATTGTGCTATTCCCATTTTTCTTCTTGAGAAACGAACGAGAGCTTTAAAACAAAGACTGCAGCACCATCTGAACTAATAAGCGGACTTGCGCGGACTTCAGCGGACACTTTTTTGGCCGAGTGAACTACTGCTATCTTCTTATGAAGAATGTTTGATCATAGAAAGTTATCAAGGTAACTATTGTAACCATGTTTATGAGATTCCAGCCTGCCGCAGCACTGCAACAGGGAACTGCGGAAAGGAGCCCTGGAAACCATTGAGTTTAAAGGTTTCTTTACTTTAACTTCCAAGTCGGCGGGGTTGTAATATGCACTGGAACTATCAGAAAACGGCCCGACCCGACCCGACCCAACACGATCTGCTGTCGCTAGTGGGCACCCCCAATAACAGACACCGTAGGACCAAAAAAGCAATTCTTTTCTATATGTAAAATTGTAAGTGTGTCAGAGCTCTCGGAAAAATGGGGCGGATGGTTCTGGTTCGAATTCCCCAGTGGGGCATTCTTGAACGTATTGTCCTCGTATTATCCCATAAAACATGTAGTCTTGATCCCATTCCAACACCACTGCTCATCACACATCTTGATAGTGTCATTGGATTTATAATTTCCATCATTAATGAGTCTCTTCAGTCTGGAGTAGTACCATCACTCTTTAAGCATGCTTTAGTTATTCCCCTTCTCAAAAAATCAAATCTTTTCCCAGAGGAGCTCAAGAATTTCAGACCTGTCTCCAACCTTCTCTTTTTATCAAAAATCTTGGAGAAAGTTGTTTTGGTTCAATTGAAGAATCATTTAAAAGAAAACAATTTATATGAATTATATCAATCTGCCTGTCGGCAATTTCATAACACAGAAACTGCGCTATTGAAATATACAACGACCTCTTGTGTGAGGCAGATGAGGACAAAATACCAATTCTTTCTCTTCTTGATCTTAGTGCTGCCTTTGACACTATAGATCACACTATTCTTATTGAACGATTGTTCAACACGTTTGGCCTGTCTGGCAGGGTTCTTGACTGGTTTAGGTCCTACCTGATTGGTCGTACACAATCTGTGGTTGTGCACGACTCTCTTTCGTCAATTTTTAAGCTAGACTTTGGAGTGCCTCAAAGTTCAGATTGGGCCCAATCTTGTATACGTTATATACGCAGCCGCTTGGAGCTGTGATTAGAAAGCACAATATGAATTATCACATGTACGCTGACGATACACAGTTATATAAATCTGTTCCACCATCAGATGTTAAAACCTTGCTTACTAAGATGGGTCTGTGCATTGATGACATAAAAAAGTGGATGGTTGATAATAAGCTCCAGCTTAATGAAAATAAAACTGAAATTCTGTTATGTAACCCAAAGAAAAGCCATATCCCCGTAGACATTGATCATATTTGTACTGAAAATGAAACACTGTATTTTTACTAACAAAGCAAAAAATCTGGGAGTGTATTTTGATTCAAAATTGTCAATGGAACATCATATCAATTATTTATGTACCATTTTATTTTGTGAATTGCGTAGAATTGGTCATATGTCTATGTTTTTGAACGAACACTCGTTGAAAACGCTCGTGTCATCTTTCTTGTTTTCACGCATCGATTATTGCAATGCTTTACTAGCTAACTTACCAAATACCTCTCTTCACAAGTTACAACGTTTTCAAAATCATGCTGCTAGGCTTGTACTAAAGAAAAAGAAGAGGGACCACATTACTCCCATGTTAAGAAGGTTGCATTGGCTTCCCGTGTCAGCTAAAATGTCATATAAAATTGCAATATTATGTCATAAATGTGTCAATAACAAAGCTCCCTCATATCTTAGTGATCTCATCCAGATTTATGTTCCATCTAGATCACTAAGATCAGGCGACCAGTATCTTTTACGAGTTCCTAGAAAAGGTGGTAAAAAATTAGCCGAAAGATCGTTCGCCCACCTTGCTCCGTCAGTTTGGAACTCTCTTCCCCAACCCTTGAGATATACAACATCTGAGTCTAAATTTAAAAAATCTTTAAAGGCACATTTAATTACATCCTTTTTAAGTCAGTAGATTCATGTTCAATACAATGTTGTGTAAATGTCTATGTATCCATTTATTTATTTTGTGAATTGCAGTGTATATATTATTGTATTCTCATTTCGTGACGATGTGTAATCGTGTGCGTGTGATAAGCAAGTAGATGTGTGTGTGTGTGTGTGTGTGTGTGTGTGTGTGTGTGTGTGTGTGTGTGTGAGTGTGTGTGTGAGTGTGTGTTTGGCATACATGTGTGCATGTTATGTGCTCGTGAGTGTGTATGCGTGTGTTTGTGTGTGTGTATATGTATATGTGTGTGTGTTTGTGTGTATATGAGTGTGTGTGTGTGTGAGTGTGTGTGTGTGTCGCGTGCATGAATATTTTTCTTACATGCATTTATGTAAAGCGCCTAGAGCTGTGTTTACACGGGAGTGGGCGCTATAGAAATGATCTTCATTATTATTATTATTATCCAGTTGGGAGAGATTTCAACATGCTCTCCACCGACTTGGCGAGGTCCTATCGAAGATGGAAGTTAAAATTCGGAAGCATAGTCTCTTACACAACCTTCACCGAGTTCACAGGGACCTTAAATTATACCACTACATCTCAACTGAAACTCGATTCTGGCACATAGATAAGTAAAAGGTTGTATCTACTCAAGAAATGTTAGGGCCAACCAGGGCTGAGAGGGATGCAGCATCCCAACAGAACCACGGAGATAGCCTGTGTTTAAGTGCTCAATAAATATACATGAGTGATAATTACCTTATTTACTTCCTTCTTTCTTTAGTTCTATCTGTAGTTCTTTTGACCCCGAAGACCGGCATACCTTTAAAGCATTTAACTTACGAGGGTTTCACCCTCTCCCCCAAACAAACAAGCAAACACAACCCCAAAACGAACAAAAACAACAGACCCCCCCCCCCCAACAACAAAAAAAAACAACCGAACTAATAATCGTTTGTTTGGGTAAAGAGAATAACATTGACACAATAACGTTCATTTCGTGTAGGGAAAGGTTAGACAGACATACAGACAGACAGAGAGACAGAAACAATAGAAGGAAAGGAAAGAAGTAGGACCTACCCCAACAATCCGAAAAATAAATGAATTAAGTAAAACCCAAAACAAAACTAAACAAAAATAAATAAACCAACCAACCAAACCCAACCAAAACCAAAGGTAATGTTACCTTCTTGGCGAGAGCCTGTAGCTGTCGTGGCCCGCCGTAGCACTTGAGGACACAGGAGGCATACACTGGGTGGAGATTCTCTACCCAGCTCTCGGGGCACAGCTCCAGGTAACTGAGAAGTGTCGCTATACCTGGGGACGTGAAAACAAGGACGATCATAATTCAGGGAGTTTTTATAAACTTTAGTTCAGTTTTAGTAAGAGTTTTACGGCATTTGCAACACAATAAGGTCATATAAATGCCGAAGAATAGATTGTGTGTTACAAGACAGTAACATATATAAAAAAAAGAAGGAGGGGAGATAAGGACGAGAGATGTTTGATGGAAAGAAGGAGCAAACCACATCAGAACACCCGCCTTTTTAACTTTAAAATTTAAAAAGAAGCTGCACATTTTATTGGAACTTCTAAACATAAAAGTCCTAGTTAATCGACATGATCAGGGAGAAAAAAGAACAACTACATCTCTTGTCCCCAAAACCTTTCTTTGAAAAAAAAGAACAAAGAACAAAGAGCATCTCTCCAAGTCGAGCTTAAAGGGGAATGTATAATGTATTGGTTTGAGTGAAGCATTCCGCAGGGCGTAACTTCGACATTGCGATTAACGGCAATCCTAAGGGACATTTCGATGACAACTAGACAAAAGATTTCAACTTTCATTTCTCAATCCGTCTTGGACTCAGAAAAGCAGGGCAGCTGAGAGATTAGTCTTATTGCATGAAACACCACCCACCAAATCTCATCTTTTAATCTAATTATACAAGGGATTCAACACAATCAACCTAGTTTGTATTACAGATCGAATAGATTACAACGAGCCTGGATCATATAACTATTTTCTAATTAGTGTCATCAAACAGATGTTATGTTCTTGCATCCGCTAAAATCGCCATCGTTGAGGTCATAGGGAGATTGCGTAGATTATGATCAAAGTGTTAGAAATGTTATGCAACCATATGAATTACATTCCAGCCGCTTGTATCATAGCACAGGGTCATAATGTAATACAGCGTGATCCATCCATTCATCCAACCATCCATCCTACCTACCGACATACATATTCATCTACCTACCTACTACCTACCTACCCAACTATCTACCTACCAATCGACCTACCTACCCACCGACCTACCAACTCACCTACTTACCTCCCTACCTATCCTACCTACTCAACTGCATACCTACCTACCCTGCCTACCTATCCTACATACCAGCTACATACCTACCTGCCTACCTACCTATCCTACCTACCAGCTTCATACCTACCTGCCTTCATACCTACCTACCTACCAACTCACCCACCTACCCACCGTATCTACCCCGCTACATAGCTACATAACTACCTGCCTTCCTATATAGTATTATTCCAAAATCATTGAGGTAAACACAACAATTCTTTGGACTTGATGATTATCAGACGGACATATAAGTAACGCTAACACAGGTGCTGAATAGCTAATGTTGCTGATTGACTTTAAAAAAAAAAAAAAGCCCCCAAAAAACAACAACAACAAATAAACAAACAAAACCCACGTTAGCACACGGTATTCAAACAGCTTGAATAGTGACTTCACGCATCCAAGCGTTGATGAGATTTCCTTTTCTCAAAATCACCACACCACAACAACTCGAAAACGTTTGAGGAAAACTATTATCAGATGTCGATAAATCAATCTTCCCTGATATAACCGAAATATAACAAAAATAAAATCACACTATAAATCAAGCTATCTGTGCATTTGAACTAAAACCATGTCCTGGAACTTGCCAACAAATTTTAATGTAACCGAGCAGCAATTCCTTTTTGTAAAGAATATCGTCGCCACAACATGAAACAAAGTCAAAGCTTGTCGGCACTCTACGTCCAACGACGAACAAAAGGCGGAAGACACTGGGCTGAAATTTGGACCCTTAAAAAAAATAATTCAAGCTCTTTAAATTCGGTCTTGCTTTTTCGCTCCTTCAACTCTTTTAAGTGGCGTGTTCCCAACAACAAACCAATAAATCTGGGCTTTATTTTGTCACAGTAGCAAAATTATGCGAGGCAGAGCGAGAAAACCGGTACATTTTCAAGATTTAAGAAAAGAAGATGTCGATATTCTAAAGAAAGTTTATTTCATTGATTATGATATGCGTCTTCTTACCTCAGACATTACATTTTTTACTTTTGTTTTGAATGAGGAGGATTTTACAAGTCATGAAGTTTATATTCGTGCAAATAACGTGTATGAGGGTTCTTAAAGATAATTTTGCCACACGTTTGAGAAAATACAAAAAATGTATTAAAAAACCCCCCAACGTATTCCAAAAGGAGGAACGAAACCCACAATCTAATTCTCCAATAAGACTGCTATTAAGGATTTCAATATTCCCGAGTCCCATGTAAGTAAGTGCCCGGATTTAATGCTCCTATAAATAATTTAAGAGGCGAGACCTCCGACTTTAACGTCCGTCTCCGAGAGGACAGAGCCAAATGGGTGGGAAGTCCTGAAATCTCCAAAAACGAAAGACCTGAGTTTAAGAAAGCCTGGGCTCAGATTCAAGCCACTGCCATCCGTTACGTAGTCCAGCATGAAATTAACTGAGCTAACGGAATGCCCCCCCCCC